ATTATATGTGAAAAGAGCACCAAATAAAGAGTGAAATGAGCACCAAATTTGTTTATATGTGAAATAAGAAAATAAATAATGTCATCACACCGAACAACATGAAGAACACAAAAAGGTAATAAATGCATGTTATGTAAATATGATTATTATGAAAAAAATTTTTATGATAACAGAGCAGTTCGAACTTTTTTCGACCTGCCTTTGCCACGTCGTTTACCCAAAACCTGTAAGCGAGTTTTATCATTAATTTCGTATTTGTGGAGAAGCATACCCAAACCAATTGAATGTTTGCATACATAAGATTTCAACCCACTTGGACATGTACATGAATTAAGTGGGCATACAAGCCAGCAAGATTTCAACCAAATAATCAACTCGTCAAATGATGTCCACTGTTGAAGTTGATACATTATGCTGCTTTAAAATAATATCAGCTTCGTTGAGTGTATTGACGATATTTAAAATTTGATATTGTTTGCTTGACATGTTTTTGCTACCGGAATTTTTATTTTTTTCTACACTTTTTTTATATACAAATCATTACTCCAATTAATTAGATTATTTATGAATTGTCATTGTATTAATGAATATGAGTAGAGCTTATCCCAATTTAATAGCTAAGTACCTATGAACTGCAGTCGTAATTCGTTTAAATCTTAATTGATACCTTTTGTACTGTTCTGTTCATTTGGTGCTCATTTCACCCTTTTTTAGTGCTCTTTTCACATATAATCAATTTGGTGCTCATTTCACCCTTTTTTTGGTGCTCTTTTCACATATAATCAATTTTGGTGCTCATTTCACTCTTTTTTTGGTGCTCTTTTCACATATAATCAATTTGGTGCTCATTTCACTCTTTTCTTGGTGCTCAAAACACATTTCTTCCATCTATCTCTATATATATGTATATATATATATACATCCATATTGATTATCGTCGTGCTTGTTGAGAGGATAAGATGAGAGAAAATTCTTGTTACTGTTGTTGTTGTTTCTCTTAGTTAGTAACAGCAGGCGAACATAGTTTTTATAATGAGAAGATGGGATAAATGTGTTTAGTTATTGTTATTGATCAGAATTCACCTATATCTAATCGGAGGTTACTTGACGTAATCAAATTGTGCTTGTGTCTATTTATATATATATATATATGTCTATGTTCTTCCAATCAAGACCAAATGTCAAATAGAATAATACACATTAAAGCAACGATGTGTGCAAGAAACTTATTTGCCTACATCATTCCACTAACTACATCTTCATCATCTCCTATTTCTCATTTTCTTGTCGGTATTCTCGTCGTTGAAATGCTAATCGTTCTCTAGCCCAACACATATATATATATATATATTTATATATATATAAAGCCCCAATCACACAATTATTTTGAATAAGCACGCGTAGTTGTTGTGCGCTCTCGCTTTCAATACTCTATTACCGATGCGTGTTGTCCTTTGGGCATATATGTGCAGCACGAACGACGACTTTTGATCTTTTTGTTGTTTTCTATACTTATATGATGGTAGTATTACTGGCCTTTTGTCCTCTTCTTTCGCTCGATCGCTCATTGCAACCGCGATTAATTAAGTATCTTTCCTCTCTTTCTTTCTTTGTTTCTCTATCCATGTCCATTCATCCATCTATCTATCTATCTATATCCCTCATGGTGTGTGTAAATTGGACACTTGTAGTCGAGGGGGAGAAAAGAAACGCATTCTCTTTTGTGCTTCGTCGACGACTAGTGTGTTTTTCTTTTCCTGTATGCGTGTAACCTTATCGTTCGCCGGCAGCTTTAGCAGCAGCAGCCACTGCCGACAAGACGGCCGCGTCAGGTCACGACAACGACGATTATTTTTTCCCTTTCGCCTCATCGTCGTCGTCGTCGACGTCGTCGATTCTCTTTTTCCGATGCGACGCGCGCCGCTACTTTCTATCGTCGGCCATCACACACATATACTAATAGAAAATGATTAGAACATGTTCGTCGTTCATGCACACACACACATGCTGTCGTGTTGTTCTAAGATAATATATCCCCCTCTCTCTCTCATTCTCTTTTCTTTTCTTTTCTTTTCATACACACACTCATATGCATGCATTGACTCCTAGCAGCTAGTATTACTATAGAGTATCTGTTCCACTACACTAGAATTAGATTTCATAACGATTTGTCATTGTCAAGGTCTTTGTTGTCTCATTCACGTGCTATTCAATCTATTACTAGTGACACTCTACTTTGCCTTTTTTTTTTCTCTCTCTCTCTCTCTTTTACTGTATCTCTCTTCCCTCTTCTAATTCAGTCACTCTCTTGGCGTAACATTCATCATTCATGAGAATCCGTCAAGTGCAGAGTGTCGCTATTGGATGGGTTGGTGGATTTGCATGTTTTCTATTTATTCTCTTTCATTTTATTTTAGACCACTACATAAATCATGGCAACATGTCGTTCGTCGTCATCATCATGTTTGTTTAATTTCTTTTGGTAGTAGTCAAAAAAAAAGAACGAAGTATTCATTCATACACTTACTGTTAAATTTCATTCATTCATACATATATACATATACATATTTAGCTCCTTTTTTGTTTTTCTTTGTCATTCACTTCTTATCCTTCAATTTCATTTTGCTTTCTTTTTTTCTTCTATATGGTGATGTTTGTGAATGTTAAAATTGTCACTTTTTATTTCTGTTGTTTTTCCTTTTCGTGTTGCTAATTCAACATCGCCATCGTGCGCATTTGAATAGTTAAAGCCGTCAAAATTCACTCACACACGAATCTCAAACTTGGTAGTAGCAGCTTGCAGCAATCATCGATTCATACATCGAAATTGCACGACGACAATTTGTCAAATTTTAATAGTAGTAAAAAGAAAAAGAAGAGTAGTAGCGGAACCGTTACCGGTTCACTTAATACCGGTAATTTAAATACTGGTATACAAGATAAAACAACTGGAAACATGTTTCCTGGACGTAGTGGCCCACAGGTATGACATGAAGAAAAATAATTTTTTTTTTTTTTTTTTTTTATTAACATTTGTTAAATATATTTTTATCCAGGGTTCTTCTCAAGTGGACTTTAGCATTATTGAATATTGCGATCGTTTAAAAAAAGAATTTAGTGTATTACAACAACAGTGTCAAAGGTAAAATTAAAAAAAAAAAAAAGAAAAAGAATTCATTTTGAAATTGAAATTTTTGAATTAATTTTAGTCTAAAATTTGATTGTGAAAAATTAGCACAAGAAAAAATTGAAGTTCATCGTCAATATGTTATGGTAAAACATTTTGAATGATAATAATAAAAAGAAAAATAGATTAGATATAATGAAATCTTTTATATTTAGTATTATGAAATGTCCTATGGACTTAATGTTGAAATGCATAGACAATCAGAATTAGCTAAACGATATTTAGCTATATGTCATCAAATAATTCCATGTTTATCACAAGAAGTAAAAAAAATTAATTGTTGATGAAAGACAAGAAACAAAAAAATTGTTTTTTTTGATTTTAGCAACAAAATCAGGTAGCGGCAACACTTGAACGTGCTAAACAAGTTACTGTTGCAGAATTAAATGCTATTATTGGGGTATATATATATATATTTGTGTATTTCAAACGAGAAAGAAAAAACATGACATTTATTATATTTTAGCAACAAATGCATGGTCAAGGTGCTGCTTTTCCTCATGGACATAATCAATCACCTCATTTAGCAGCATTGACTGCTGCTCATGCAGCATCTCCCTTTGGTTTACCTGGTGGAGCTGGACTTCCTCCTGGCCTTCTTGCTTTACAAGGTGCTGCAGCTGCTGCACAACAAGCATATCTTAAAGATGAAAAAGGTGTGTAAATGTTTAGTTTATTTATTGTTTTTTTCTTGTTTTGATTATATATATTTACGTTAGATAATCTAGAACGTGCAGAAAAAGCAGCAGCAGCGGCTGTAGCTGCAGCAGCTGCAGCCGCAGCATCATCACATAAAGTATGATATCTAAAATCGATATTAAATATTGATTAGAATGTGAAAAAAAAAATTTTTAGCGAAGTTCAAATTCTCCTCATCATATGACTGATAAATATCGTGGTCATAGTCGTTCACCACTTGAATCTCATGAATCAAAAAAACTCAAACGAGATGAAGTATGTAAAAAATAAAATAAAATATATCAAACAAAAATTTTTCTTTAACAAATCATTTTTATAGGATAGTGATGGTGAAAAAAGTGATGGTGATTTAGTTGTTGATGATGCAAACGAAGTAACTATGAATTGAAATCAATTAATTGAAAAAAAACATAATAGAATTAATTTAGAATGATAAACAATTAATGAACGGTTCTCGTTCACCTCTTGAAAATGGTGATGCATCAAAACTAAATTCAGCATCACGTCATAAACAATCACATAATGATGATAGTAGTCGAAGTCCACATAGTGATAATGGTTCATCACGTAGTACACCTTCACAGAAGGTATGTTGTTTAAATAAATATCTTCTTTTTTTTTTGGTTTTTCTATTTTAAATATTTTTTTTTTAATAGGGTAGTGAAAAAAGTGGTTCAGCACCAATAACAACAACAGCAACGAATACATCATCGAGTGGCAACGGTGGAAATTCAATGAACAAAACAAGCTCGCGTAGTGGCAGCAACAGTGGTGTTCGTCATTCTCCGAAACTTCCTCGTATGTCATCACGTCCTCCTTTTGCCGAATCTGTTTCTTAATAAATATGATCAGTGTGTGTGTGTATTCAGCAGCTGCTATGTTTGGTCCATATGGCGCATTCATTCCGGAAAACTTTGCTGCATTTGCTGCTGGTCTAAATCCAACATCTGTTCTCAATGCAGCAGCATTCGCCGCTAGTGGTACAAGCAATAATCCAACGCATTTAAATTCGACGAACAATTTTTCATCACGATCATTACATCCATCAACAAATTTCAATGATCTTTATACAGCTATGCGTATTCCTCAACAGCAACAACAACAACAACAACAACAACAACAGCAAAATCCTCTATTAACAATAACATCAACAATTGCTGCAGCAAGTGGAAATATATTTGAACGTAATGGAACTAAACAACATTATTCATTTCATTGTGATTCATTTGATCCATCACCGTCATCATCTTTATTACAACCATATACATTTCCATCAGATGCATTTGATAGTTTAGGTTGTCCACGTCGTACACGAATTTTAAGTAGTTTATTACATGGAGATGTTGTTTGTGCAGTAACAATATCAGATCAAAATAAACATATATATACAGGTGGAAAAGGTTGTGTAAAAATCTGGGATTTAAAAGAGAGTATATATAATAATACGAATTCAAATGGTAGAAATTCACCATTGACAATAAGTAAACCTGTTGGTCAATTTGAATGTTTGGTAAATATTTCAAAACAAAAAAAAAAAAAAATTGAATTCATAGAAAAAAAAAATAAAATTTTTCCTTCTTTTTGTTTTTGTTCTATTTTCTAGAGTCGAGATGCTTATATACGTTCTGTAAAACTTTTACCAGATGGTCGAACATTAATTGTTGGTGGTGAAGCATCAAATATTTCAATATGGGATCTTAATTTAACACCATCAACACCAAATGGTTCTGCATTAGGACGTGATGGTAGTAATTCAAATTCTTCAACATCATCAAATAGTTCAACATATACACCTGTTATAAAATTAAAAGGAGAATTACAATCAAAAGCAGCTGCTTGTTATGCATTAGCTATATCAACAGATGGTAAACTTTGTTTTAGTTGTTGTTCAGATGGAAATGTACTTGTTTGGGATATACAAAATCAAATAATTGTTCGGTAAGAATAATAATTTAATCTTTTTTTTTGTTATATTTTATCTTAATCTTAAAAAATTACTTTTATTTAAAGACAATTTCAAGGTCATAATGATGGTGCAAGTTGTATTGATTTAACACCTGATGGTTTACGTGTTTGGACAGGTGGTCTTGATAATACTGTACGTTGTTGGGATATACGTGAAGGTCGACAATTACAACAATATGAATTTGATTCACAAATATTTTCACTTGGTTATTGTCCAACAGGTGGTGATTGGTTAGCTGTTGGTATGGAACAAAGTTTAATTGATATATTAAATGTATCATCAACTAAACCTGATAAATATCGTTTAACATTACATGAAAGTTGTGTACTAGCATTAAAATTTGCACGATCAGGTCAATGGTTTGTATCAACAAGTAAAGATAATCAATTAACTGGTTGGAAAACACCATATGGTGCAAAATTATTTGATGTAAGCTTTGTTTTTTTATTATTATTTAAATTGTGAAATTAAACTTTGGTTTTTTTTGTTTAGAATAAAGAATGTTCGTCTGTATTAAGCTGCGATGTATCACAAGATGATAATTTCATCGTGACCGGTTCCGGTGATAAAAAAGCGACTTTATATGAAGTTATTTATGAACGATAATAAGAATGAGTTGTTTGAATACACACACACACACGCTCGGATTTAAAAGAAAACATTTTCTGCATAGGATCAATATATATTTCCTTGTTTCTTTCTTTCTTTTTTTGTTTAAAAAAATTCTTTTTTTTCTGTAGATCTGCATTATATTCATTCACTCTCTGTCTCTTTATTTCTGTTTGCTTTCAAATTGCGCGTCTATACAGTGAGTTTGTCTTCTCTCTAATTGTCGCGGGTCAGATATTTCGATTTTTTCTTGTGACCAAATGTTTGTCACTATTATATCCTTTACATATATGTGTATGTGTGCGTGTGTATGGATCAATATTTGCTTATCTTGCTGTATTTGTATATAGAAAATTTTTCTTCACATGTTTGTATTGTGCATGTGTATAATTCTTTTCCTTTTTTGTTTTTTTTGTTTGCTTGGGTTATATGAAGATTGAAAAGAAAAAAAAAAAAAAATCTGATGCGTATAATAATTGTGTTTTGTCTTTTTTTTTCTTTCTTCTCACGTTTGGTGTTCGTAATTTATCTATATATATATATATATATACATATAAGAAAGAAATATCTGATCTGACGGAAAAAATGAAGATTTCTGTTGTATTTTTTGAGATAAATTAGATAATGACCGATATGAATTTAGAAACATCATGAAAGTTTTTTTTTTAATAAAGAGATTCATTGATAAAATACTTGATCAAAGTCATTTTTCTTTTTTTTGTCGATTCGTTTAATCTAATTGAAGAAACAAAATAATTCGGTTTTGTTATATTACTCTTATGAGATTGATAATGTCTATTAGGAGTAATTAATTGGAATTGATTTTAATTCTTGCCAAGAGGCTAAATAATTTATTTCGAATTATGATGAGTGAAATATTTGAAGAAAATGATGTAGTCTGTCATAATCATAATTTCAATTATCATATTCATGTTGATTGCAAGCTGCATTGATTAATATATAAATGAAGAAGTTTTCATTGAACATTTTGAGTACAGAATTATTTTTTAAATTTTATATAAAGCATATTCGGACTTGCTATTCGTTTGTTTGATGATTTTAGTCTTAGGTTTTCAGTTAAATCCAATTATTCTTTGAAAATCAATTATTGGTTGACATTAATAATGTCTCCGTTTGAAAAATCAGCATAAAACTGGAGAGAGAAAATATTCAAGATCTTTCTTAAAAATGTCGCTCTAGAACAGTTATCATTACACGAGATATCATTTTGTTTCGTTTTCAAGAAATGATATCAAACTCACTGATATTCTAACTGATTGAATACTATAATGATTGTTTCAAATCTTAAGAAATAATCATATAATTATTAGAAAACGTGTAGCTAATCTCAAATACACAAAAACCTATATGCATTTCATCTCATTGAATAATCAATAACTCATATTTATAGAAGCTATTTAGAGAATGTGTGATCACATCATTCGTACTCAAAAGGTTAAAAAAATTGCTTTTTTTTTCTGTGTGTGCTAAGTACTTAAAGAAAGTCATGGTTCATTTAATGTCATATCAAAAGATCTTGAATTATGAATATAGTCTTCAATGTTTCTAGAAGAAAAGCATATCTCTTCAGGTTTTAATACTATAAAAGTGTTGACATGAATATTTAGACTAGTATACTGTTGACGTTTATACGATACAATTTATAGTTAAAAATAGGGTAGATATCAAAATGATTCAACAAGGTTTATTTTCAATTATTGTTCCCTTGCCGTAAGCACTAGACAGAATTCATATAATGATTCACATAGAATATACATAAATAAAAGTAATTATCAAGTTCTTAAAGAAAGGAATTTCAGAAAATCTAAATGGGAGTAAATCATATTTTGAACGTCAATCAAATTGCTGTATCATAGTCAATAAATGTCATAGAGAACTCGCAGATGTTGCTTTTTGTAGAGGATGTTTTACTCTACTGTTCTATGTCGTCTTAAGCTAAATTATATTTACGTGATCTAAATATTGAAAAGCGGAAAAAAAAACTCTAAATAAACCTTTTTGAATAATTTAATTAGTCTAATTTAAATCAGAATTATTTAGTTCTTTATTGCCGTTGTACTAGTAAAATAATTGACATTTTTTCTCTGCTTAATATTATCAAAATAAATATTCAAAATGTTTCTCTATTACTAGTCTAATTATGTAGTAAGCGAAATGTTAATGACGTCATTTGTTTTTAGTTTCTCACCATTCTTTATATTTGGACAGAATGTGTAAAAATATGAGATTCGACAGTACTAAATAGAAAAGGTTATGAAAATTTTTCAATCTTGAACTTGGTAACTATCTAAAAATTTACATTATTGTAGCCTAAAAAAATTTTTTCATGATCTAATTCAAATTATATCTGATTCAAAAATGATGAATATTACAAAATTCTATTTATCTTTTATGATTCGATGAATGTGATCAATACTCAGTATGATGAATATTAATTTTCTTAGTAGTACAAATACGTTGTGAATGCAAGACTAAAAGATTTTTAAATAACTCAATAGTTGTTTTTATACTGGTGAAAATATCTGAAATGTGTTTCTTTATTGTAATAGGTATCTTTCGTTTTTGATAGTATTTCGTTGTAATTTCAATTTTGATAATTATTTTAATTTTTCCAGATCATACAATTCATGTTCTGTGATATGCATAATTATGAATCAAATTTAGTTTGAGTGAGGTCATGAAAAAAACATTTTTGTGTTGATAGGGTACAAATTATTACAAATTTCTACAGTTTAAGAACGAAACATTTTTATAACCTTTACTATTTAGTACTGCAAAACATCATATTCGAAGCGCTTTAATTTGGTAGAAAATTTATTACGAATATTATTTTAAATTACAGCGTTACCACCTACAAAAGTTTTCTTTTTTCACATATCCTATATATGAAACACTAATAAAACGAAAAACTAAATAGAAATGTGATATTTTAACGTCATTTGGACATTACTGTAGACAGCGACATCGGCAGGAAATAGTTGCTATCTTTGTATTTTGATTGATGATGATCTCATTCAGTGTACTTATTGGTATCAGTGAGTCATTACAATTTTTCCTCATTTTAATAGCAGCAAATATATTGGTTTTGTATCATTGAATTTATATTATTTTATACCATTTCTTTGAAGAAATTTCCACAAGGACATAGAGGACGCTGACTTTTTAAAACCTTTTTTATAGTTCTCTTGTTACGTAAGTAAATACAAGAAATAAATAGTTAGATTTTCACTAGATTTAATTGGACACATGGTGAATGAGAGATAATATAAAATATGTAATTAACAATTTATGAATTCAAATATTTCTTTTATGAACACATCATACAAATAGACTATGGATATGATTCAGTTAGGTGCAGAAAAAAAAGGAAATTGTTACATATTTGAAAGATATGACGAACGAAAAACATAAGTGTCAGTAAAGTTTTTCTTTTTAATATTTACAACAAACCAATTGATTTTTGTTATGTTGGAAGAAAAAAAACATGAAAAGTTTGTTTAAATGTAAGGGTTTCAGACCCTATTGAATTCGTCTATTGACATATCACTGACGTGTTACGTTATTGACTCAAAATAAACAACACGAAAAGCAAATAAAAATGATAGATAAAAATACTTCTGTCTTTTTAGATATTATTTTATTATTATTTTTTACGTATTATTTCTTTATATTAAATACATCAAATGGCCGGAAGAAAAAAAGTTTTACTTAAAGTAATTATATTAGGTATGAAAATAAAATAAAAACTATAATATAACTACTATGTTTGATTTTTCCTTTTTGTTATGTTTAGGTGATAGTGGTGTTGGTAAAACAAGTTTAATGGGGCAATATGTTTCACATAAATTTTCAAATCAATATAAAGCAACAATAGGTGCAGATTTTTTAACTAAAGAAGTACAAATTGATGATCGTCTTGTAACAATGCAGGTGAATTCAAAAACTAACTAAAATTTTTATAGTTTATTTTTATTTTTATTTTTTTTTCAAGATTTGGGATACAGCTGGTCAAGAACGTTTTCAAAGTTTAGGTGTAGCTTTTTATCGTGGAGCTGATTGTTGTATACTCGTGTATGATGTTACATCATCAAATTCATTTAAATCCTTAGATAGTTGGCGAGATGAATTTCTTATTGTAAGTCATAGATTAGTTTATTTTATTAATAAAAAAATCAAATCACTTATTTCTTTTTAGCAAGCTGGACCACGTGATCCTGAAAATTTTCCCTTTGTGGTAATCAAAATATTTTTAATTAAAATTTTTTGAATATAAAATATTTATCTATAGGTGATTGGAAATAAAACTGATCTTGATAATCGTGTGGTTAGTTTGATTTAATATTAAAATTCTTTTATTGTTTAATTTTTTTTTTATTTATTTATATAGATTCCAGTACGTAAAGCACTTAATTGGTGTGCAGGTATATAAAAGAAAAATAAAAAATAGAAAAAATTTATTGATGTGAAAAATTGTCACTTGTTTAGAAAAATCCAATATTCCACATTTTGACACATCAGCTAAAGAAGGTATTAACGTTGAAAAAGCTTTTGAAACTGTTGCACGTAATGCATTAGCGCGTGAAAAAGATATTGATCCAACACCAGATTTTCCATCACCAATACGACTTCCAGAACAAAATCAAAATACTGATACAAATAAATGTCCATGTTAATTCAAGAACATAATCGTTCGAGATGTTTTTTTTTGTCTTTCTTTTTCTTTTTTTTCTTTGTAATAACGTCTACATATGTATAAATATATATTTATATTTATATAAAAAAACAAGCAGAGAAACTTATATTATTATTATTTATAATGTTGTTCGTATTTAAACAAATTTGGTGCTGAAACATAACTAATTTTGATTTGTTATGTATTTATGTAATTTTTGTTGTATGCATTTGTCTTGTTTATATGAACTAGATGAAACTTTATGTGTTGTTGTTATTTTTATCTGATCAGTATAAATGCATAT